GTGTCCGCATCTCTCCTCGGTGTAGCCGTCCCTCGGTCAGCTTGCAGTGGTGGTGTCTCAGGGCTGTTCTGCACACTCTCCAGGAATGTGTCCTGTAATTGGTTGGCTTCAGTTGACTGTGTGATGGAGGGGTGCTCTGCCTGGGTATTAGGCAAATTAGAGAGTCTCCAAAATGTCCCTTCCATCCAGGCCGTCAGTCCTGTTTTCCTAGCACGTTGCTAGCCATTTCTGTTGCCTTTGAAACGCCTGCACCAGGAGGACAGTTTCTCTTCAGGCCTTAGGTGAGATATGTGCTACTCATGCCTTCAGTGTTTGTGCCTCACGGAGGTTTCTCCAGAGTGAGGATGCTGCCTGTATCACATGTAGCTTCCCCCAAATGACACACCTTCCGATCTCATCAGCTGCATTTGAAATGTATGAAGTCATTGTGATGCTGTCATGTGAAGATTCTGCCTCCTTGAATGCAGCAGCTGTGGGAACAGATGCTGTTTTCATGGCACCATTTGTCAGTAAAACATACTGTCCTGGTCCAGGTGCCTGGCCTCATCACCTTGTGTGTTTCACAGTTGCTATTCATTGGACTCTCCTACGCAAAGACCTCGATTAATGTTGGTTAGTACTCAACGCTCAGGATATCCAGGGTGTCTGTGGCCAAAGGCAGAAGGCAGAGGAACCCAGGTTCTCTTTCCTGTTCTTTGCATGGTGCATGCAGAGGAATTCAGAGCTGTGGCAGGCAGCTAAGAAAGGCATCCTGCATATGTATGGCGTGTGAATGTAGACGGGCTGGTTGCACGCATAGAGGGAATGTCTGAGAAGCTGAAGGGTGCGGAGCCCCTCATGTGCATCTTTGAACATAGAAGTCTGTCATTTAGAGAGAGGGTTTGGAGAGCCTGCCTTATCTCATGTGTCTTACTGTAACTACTGCTCCTAGATCTTGGCCACACTGAACAGTGGTCTGAAAGGGCAGACACTGATGTATGAGGCAAGATGCTGTGTGGCTAAAATAGCTTTGTACTGTAGGCAGCTGAAGGGCTGTGAAGGTGCTCACCCTGGTGTTTACCTGGCCGCTGGCCTGGACTTTGGCTAGCTGTCCATCTGTTGAGTGTGGTTCTGAGCTCTGTGGAACAGGCCAGGGTGAATTTGACCTTGGTGCTTCTACCCAGACTCCCTTGTCAGTCCCACTGTTGCGCATGTTTCAGCTGCCAGCTCTCCTATGGAAGCAACGGTTTGGGGCACATCTCATGGCAGGGCATTGAGATGAAGAATCTGGGCATCTGGCTGCTTGCCCCAAAGGTAGTGGGCAGGAGGGGGCCACTGACAGCCCTCTAGCCCAGCTTAGCAGTACTTGTAATCACTGGAATCTGTCCTTACTGGGTTGGGCTGTGTCGCTCAGCACCTGTGGTGGTTGTTGTGTTGGGTGTTGAGGCTCTCCTGAGATAGGGAGTGTGTGAGACAGGCTCTGCTGTAGGCAGAAAGGCTATGAATGAGCCCATGGAGGAGGCTTTTATTTCTTAGGTTTACAGGGAAAGGAGGAGATAAAGCCAGGAAGACATTGTGGAATGAGATAGTTACCCGGGCTTTTCTGCTGGCAGAGATGTGACAGGCTTCTCAGAGAAATGTACTGTTTTCCTGCTGCTATTGTGAAGGGGAAGAGAGCTGTGGTCTGTCCTCCCTGGAGGAGGAGGCCTCCTGGCCTTGGTCTTACCCAGCTCACACTCTGTGGCAAGAGTCTGTAGGATGCAATGATGGGTGTCTGTAGCCATCTGTCCCATCTCATGAAACATTCCTTGGGTCAGCTGCCCAGCAGAGGCCAGGCCTGTTTCTAGGCTATGCGTACACTGTTGCTCCAGGAACATGAGACTTGTTCCAAGCGACAAGCGCTCATCACTACCAGACTATGCAGAGGAAGCTCTGTCTGGAAAGAAGGAAAGCTGCAGAGGCCCCTCTGCCTCCCCTTTCCAGCAGGTGCACGAGTATAATGCACTTTTCACATTAAGTGTCCCCACCCCCCCACCATCCCCACCCCACACTTGAAGTCACTTTCCCCCATAGAGAACTAACAATCCTTGTTACTCAGAAAATATTGTAAAAGAAACTACAGCAGCTTGAGTAGCCCAAATGCTAGTTCCTGCCCACAGCAGTACATGTGCCTTTCCCTAGCGTCACTCACAACTGCTCTTTGTCTTTCAGGCTGTCCTAGGGCCTGAAACTTTGCAGAAGCTGCTAAGATGGCTACGAATGCACATTCTGTACAGAGTTTGGCCCAGGGTGTGTTCCATGTATGGCTTAAAATGCTGATGATCAAGGCCCTTCCACGGTCTTCACATTTGTCCATGGAGGACAGGACTTGCCCCTAACATCCTTCTAGGCTGCTGCCACCCCACCCTGCAAATGCACCCGTGCACATTCTAGTTGTTTTCCGCTTTCATGGCACCTTAGTGCCAGGGGAGGGTCTGCCCATGCAAAGCAGAGAAACAGACATGTGGCACTGGGGGAACCAGCTGGGCTACCCTGAGGCAAGGAGGTCTTTGTAGATAAGTGCTGATCCCTCAACTATAATCCCAGTTATGTAATGGCTGTATTAACATGTAACCGACCGCATTGTATCTAAAGCCTTAGAACTAGTCAGGTGCTCCCCTCCAACCTTGTTCCTGCCCCTTTCCTCCTACCTGATCTTTAACAAAGCATTAATAATTCTAAGGATAATCTCTATTTTGTTGTGCTTTTTTTGTAACTGTTTTAAATAAATCAATTTGTACTGTATATTTGTACTTTTGGTGAGATCCTTTTTCCTGTTTTACCATTTTAAGTCTGTACTTGGCTACACACAGATTGTATTTTTATTGTTAATGCTCTTATGAATATTGCATTTAACTTGTTGACTCTGTAAACACAGTATATATCTATATATATATATCTATATATAAACCAATAGCTTTTACTTTGGTGTTTGAGACTTTTTGCTTGTCTGCAGCATCTGCGATCATTAGGATGTGGCTTCTCTGGTCTTATACAGAGTGACCTGGAGACTTGTGATAAGGGCAAGGTAAAGGCTGCCTGACAGATGGATTATAAGCCATAATTCTGTGTTCAAATACTTCTGCTTTTATGTGGTCTCTTTCTTGAACCCCTTGGAATGATGATCAGGTGCCAGTGACACTGCAGGGAAAGTTTCAGCTATAGTTTGCAGAGTGAAGCTACATCTCTGCTGGCCAAGCAAAACACACAAGATAGAGCAATAGCAAATATTGTGAGAAGCAAACTTGTCGGTTTGAGTATGAAAATGGGCAGAGGTAAGAATAAAAGTGAGAGATCAGCTCAGAGAACAAAGGAGGATATGAACAAGGTAACATGGAACTGAATAGACCCTTTCCAGATCTGGTGCCATTTCCCATAGTGAGGAGGATGGCTCCTGGATGTCAGTTCTATGTGATGAACAATATGCTAAAACAGCTTCTGTAAGGTGAGGAAACAAGATGTTACAGTGGAATGTGGAGGAAATTGTAGTATTGAAGAGATTAAATGCTTTTTGTAGCAAGCGTCCACAAGACTGTCTGTAACGTTAGTTCATTATCATGAAAAAAATGCAACATTATGCACTTTGAAGGCAACTAGTGTAAGCATTAACTAGGGCTTCAAGGGACTTCAATAAAAAGTTTTTCAAACTGAAAAAAGAGGGAAAAATCAGGTTCCTAAGTAGTCTGGCTGAAAGGTTTTGCTTCGTGTTTTAACTTTACTCTTCTGATCTCAAGTAGGAGTCTTGTGGTCACTATTTCTGACAATGCAGAGAAACAGCAGAGAGAAGACAGTAGCTCCCAGTGTATTTAGATCACCATGTAGCTGTACTGCAGACCTTAACTGGAAATGCTATGAAAGCAGTAAGGGTCTTCAGGCTACAAAACGTAGGTGTGTGGCACAACAGTGTTTGGTGGGCTGACGTTTGGAAACCACAAAGCCACAGCATTCATTTTTACATGCTCATTCTTAAAGAAACCAAATAATGGAGAGTGTACCACCCCTTTGCCCCCACCATGAGTCCTTCTGTGCTAATGTTTTGCCTTTTCCAGTTTAAACATGCCTAGATTTAATTTCCACAGTTGCATAGTTTCATAATGATTTCTGTTAGCAATGGGAACCTTTTCATATAGGTACAGCCTATGATCACATTTTGCCTTGGCTACTTCTTGAATAAACTAAAGAATGCTTAAATTCCCTACCCTCTGGCAGGTTTTTCCAGACTCAGTTATTGTAGCTTTCCCTGGCTCCCCCCAGCTCACTCCTTTTCCTCTCATTGGTTTTGTTGCCAAGTGTGGAAGCAAAAGCAACTTTCTTTTCTACCTGTGTGGTTCTGTTTACTAATGGTCCCCCCCTTTGCCCCACAGTGTTATCAGCAGTGATCACTGAAAGTCACTGTTGGTCACAGAGGAATTTACTATGAGAATGAGTAACTTGAGTGTGATCCGTGGTCCTAGATGAGCAGTGTTGCATTTGGCTCTATTAAAATGGTTGAACAAGCTCAGTTTACCATGAAGTCACAGAACAGTTGAGGTGAGAAGGGACCTCTGGAAGTCATCTGGTCCAACTTCCCCTGCTCGAGCAGGGCCACCTACAGCCAGCTAGCTGCCCAGGACGGTGTCTTTTGAGAATCTCCAAGGTGGGAGACTCCACAACTTCCCTGGGTAACCTCTGCCAGTGCTCAGTCACCCTCACAGTAAAAAAGTGTTTCCTGATGTTCAGAGGGAACCCCCTGTGTTTCCATTTGTGCCCGCTGCCTCTGGTCCTGTCACTGGGCACCACTGAAAACAGCCTGGCTCCATCTTCTTTACACTCTCCCTTCAGATATTTCTAAACATTGACAAGATCCACCTCTCCCCCCTCAAGCCTTTTCTTCTCCAGGCTGAACAGTCTCAGCTCTCCCAGCCTTTCCTCATAGCAGAGATGCTCCAGTCCCTTTGCTATCTTAGTGGCCCTTTGCTAGATGCTCTCCAGTATGTCTGTGCCTCTCTTGCACTGGGGAGCCCAGAACTGGACACAGCACTCCAGATGTGGCCTCACCAGTGCTGAATAAAGGGGAAAGCAAATCCATACAGTACTAGAGAGCGGACCTACCCTTATTGTTTACTGTTCAATCAACTCTCTCACTTGCAAACCTGAAATGCTGTTTAAGTGAAAATTAACTTGTGAGTAAACCAGCAAACTCGTTTGCTGTTTGCTTACCTCAGTCAGCCTTTCTGTTAGCGTTTATATGGGGTATCTTAGAACAGGAACTCAGTTTCCTCTTAGTTTTTCCATGGATGCTACTGCAAATAAGCACATAACGATAGTGTTAAGAGAAAAGGTGTGCACAGCCATTTCCAGGGAGACAACATCCTCCTTTGCTTCCTTTTTATGGGCACAAACTGCAAGGGATTTACTCCTGGAGGAGTTGTGGACTATCAAAGTCCTCAGCTCCATAATTCATGCTGCAGTAAAGAACATCCCTTTTTAGTGAGGTGGGCCTCCACCTACAGCAGAGCTGCAGCAGCCCAAACCCATCTATGGGGCAAGGGTCCAAGAACAAGATGAAGCACAAAAGGTAAAGAAGGGTACTAAATAAATGTGAACATTAATTTATTTTCCCTCTGTTCACAGGCTGTGACTTGGCCCCCAACGCAGACTGTATCCTCAGAACCTGCTCCCACCAGGGCTACTTTGGCAGACACCTCTCAGCTCTGTTCTCCTCCTATGTTCAGGAGAAAACCAGAACCATCTGTCAGGAAGAGTCAGCCAGGGACCCACAGCAGCCTCTTGAGTGCAGAAGCCTGCTAGTGCACCTGTGGCAGGTGCAGCAGAGGTGGCATGGTCCTTGGCTGTAGCTTAATGCAGCGCACTGTTGCTCTGCTCCTCAAAGGTCATTTTGCCCAGCAGCTGGCTCTCCAGCTCCACATTGCTCACTGGCAGCTGGAAAAAGTTCATTTCAGCTGCCAAAGCGGCCATGGCAGAGGGGTCCTGGCCAAACTGTGCCCGGAGCATCATGTCCATTTTCTCCAGGCGCCGCTTAAGCCTCTTGGCCTCACGCTCCCGGATGAGCCGGGCCTGTCGTTTCTCTGGGGTCTCGTTTGCGCGCTTCAGTCGCATGGCTTCCCGGTCTCTCTGCAGCCGCCGTGCCCGCTGTTCATCTGTCTCTTGCATGCGCTGCAGGCGCTTAGCTTCTCGATCCCGCATACGCCTCACTTCCCGTTCTTCAGGTGTCTCGTTGTCCCGCCGGCTCTTCTTGGCTGTGCGCTCCCGCTCCAGACGCTGCAACCGCACTTCCAAGGGCTCGTTCTGCCGACGAAGTGCCCACTTTCGCATGCCAGGTGTCTGTGCCTCCAGCAGCTTACGATAAGCAGCACAGTTGTTGCACACTAGGAGGATGCCTGCAGGATACACAGGGGTGTGAAAGGCAATGTCTTTCCCCTCAACACTGGAGGGGCCCTCGCTCTGTGGTGCCGGCAGGCGATCTGCACTGAGCACCTCTGGCAGCTTCTCACTGGAAAGCAGAAAGAGCAGAGAGTCAGAGACTTGGTGCTGACGGAAGAGTCCCCATCTCACTGCCCAGGGGGCTGCAATGAACAGTGCCCCTACTACAGCCCATGACAGAGGCCTCTGCTAAACCATTCCTGCCCACAGACATGTCTGAATATCTAAAATGAAGCAACATCATATCCAGGGGTAGGAAGTGGGTTAGCACAGAGCAGTATCTGGGTTGGAAGAGCACAAGAGCAGAAATTAGCCAGCAAGCTGCTCCTCCCCATCATCTCTGGATTTCTCCTTTCAGCCCTATTCCGCTAGTCAGTGGATAATCTTCCATCAGGCAGGACACAAACAAGGAACATTTTGGTTTCTACCTGTAGTCCTGCCCTGGAAATGATGAACCCATCTGTGCAGTACAGACCTACTCTGAGGGACTGCTGGGCAAGGGAAGCAGTTGATTGTTCTCCAGTGACTGGAGACCCCAGTGCTTTCCACACAGTTCTAGTTCTTCACAGAGCTAAGGAACACCCTTTTAGCAGCACAGCCCATGGACGTCTTAGCAGGTGATGCAGAGCTGCAGGCAGGAAGGGATCGAGGAATCTCACCCACTGGGGGTGTTCACAACTCTCCTACAGGCCTTAGTAGGTCCAGAGCCATGACTTCTGTGTCACTTAAGGCTACCCACCTAATCTTTAATGTGGGTACCCTAGACCCGCTCACCAGCCGGGGTGACCCTGACCTGTTGAATGTGGCGTGGCTGGTGAAGCGTGCTCCACACACCGCACAGTTTGACAGCTGGTCCTCTGAGTGGATCAGGAGATGTCGCCCAAGGGATCCTGGTGAGCTGAGGGCTCTGCCACATACAGGACACATGTAGCTCTTGGCGCTCACCACAGCTGCAGTGTGCTGCAAAACAACCACTAGGTTGTTAGTTACAAATTGCCCAGCTCCCTGCCCAGTCTGAGGCATGGTCAACAGACACAGCAAACCATTCAGTTCGGCCTCTTGTAATGGGAACGCTTCACCACTTCACTCTGTCTGACAGCTCCTAAACCAGGCTCAAGACATCTGGGGTGTCACAGGTCAAACAGCAAGGAGAAAACCTTTCTACAACTCCACTCCAGTGCAAGAGAAACAATTAAGGCCAAAACACTTTGATTTTAAGACCTGACCCTTGTTTTCAGAAATGCCTCTGAGGAGCTGCTGTTGCTGGACAAAGCATGACTGGACTAACAGTAGGCAGGATGCTGGTGAGCAAGTGCTTAGATGGAGATAGTCAGCTGGTGCAGGTAAGTGGCCAGTTCAGTTCTGCTTCATTCCTTCTTTTACAGACTTTGATGTGCTGTGAAGACAGTACTGACAACAAAACCTGTGAGATTCCAGCACAGATTTCCTGCAATACTGGAATCATTTCGGAGGAAGAACAGCTGTTTTCATGGATAGGA